ACCGCTTCTTTCGTGATCGATGTCCCGCAAAATGGCCCCGAGAGCGCTCCCAAGGCACCCAAGAGCGCTTCAAGAGGCTTGCATTGGGGGACCCTCCTGTTGCATGCTGAATATATGTATATATATATATGTATATATATATATATATATATATATATATATATGTGCTGCGATTTTCTCGTCTGCGCTTTTCTGCAATGGCGTATTTTAATACATAGCCGCATTAAGTAATTCTACACACTTCGCGTAATCCCGCCAGTTTTCTAGAAATGATGTTTGCAAGAATTGCCTCGATCAGGGAATTGAAAAGCAAGCACAATCGATTTGGAATTATGAGAAAATATAGTTTTAACGTCTTCACCAATATATTGAACCAAATTCGATTCGTTGTAAATAGCCAGGAAAAATAACGGCGCACACGGGAATGCCTCAATATTTGTTTATTGTTGGCTTGTTTAGTAAGCTACATCGAGCTAAACATGTTGCAATTCAAAAAAAGATACCACGTGAACGCGATATTCGAAAACACGTATTTCAGAATCATCGCATAATAAAACGCAATGACGTCTGGGTAGTTCCCAACCATCTTGTGGTGTTGGGTCCTCGTTTTGAAGAGACAGCGCCCCGCGTCCCACCTCCTCTCCTCCTCCTCCCCCTCCTCACCTTCCTCCCTCCTCCCCCTCCTTGCCTCTGCTCTCGACACACCCCTCACACGTTTCGTAGCCCCATAGGGAGCTCCACCGAAGGTCCCAGTGGCACAGCCCGCATGCGGTTCCTCCACCTAGGGCAGCGTTTCGTAGCCCCATAGGGAGCTCCACCGAAGGTCCCAGTGGCACAGCCCGCATGCGGTTCCCCCACCCAGGGCAGGGTTTCGTAGCCCCATAGGGAGCTCCACCGAAGGTCCCAATGGCACAGCCCGCATGCGGTTCCCCCACCCAGGGCAGCGTTTCGTAGCTCCATAGGGAGCTCCACCGAAGGTCCCAATGGCACAGCCCGCATGCGGTTCTCCCACCCAGGGCAGCGTTTCGTAGCCCCATAGGGAGCTCCACCGAAAGTCCCAGTGGCACAGCCCGGATGCGGTTCCCCCACCCAGGGCAGCGCTTCGTGGCCTTATAGGGAGCTCCACCGAAGGTCCCAGTGGCACAGCCCGCATGCGGTTCCCCCACCCAGGAGAGCGCTTCGTGGCCCCATAGGGAGCTCCACCGAAGGTCCCAGTCGCGCAGTTTGCATGCGCTCCCCTTCCCCCTTCCACGCAGGGCAGCGTTTCGTGGCCCCATAGGCATTTCCCCCGAAGGTCCCAGTGGCGCAGTTCGCATGCGTCCAGTATTGTGTTTCGTGGCCCCATAGGGAGCTCCACCAAAGGTCGCAGTGGCGCAGTTCGCATGCGTCCTCCCCACACCCAATACAGCTTTTCGTGGCCCCATAGAGAGCTCCACCAAAGGTCCCAGTGGTGCAGTTCGTATGCGTCCCCCCCCACCCAGTACAGCGCTTCGTGGTCCCATAGGGGGCTTCCCCGAATGCGATACCCACAACTGCATATGGTTGGGTCACACCAATTATGATCTTTTTGGGGCGGTGGAGCAATAGTTAATTCACCACGTAGGTGGTGGGTTTTTGTTATTGATTCTTGGCTTATAGACATAACATGAATAAATTTGCGAACTCGGGTGATGCAGCATTATTGTGCCCAGGAACTACCTAATCATCACTTCGGATTCTGGACAAAATTGCAACTGAAACGGGTATGAAAATATTGGGAATACCACTCCGCATATTATAATACACATTTGGAGGTAAATTGGTGTCAACATCTACTGAATCCCACTAGCCCTTTAGGGCGTCGGCGGTTTAACGACTTCCTTCCTTTTCGGGGGAGCGTCCAAGATCGACCCATGGGGGGGCAAAAAATTCGACACCCCTCACGAGGATCGTGGCTCCTTAGGGAGGGGCTGAAATTTAGGAACACCTCTTTCGTTGATCGATCAAGATGGCTCCGAGAGACGTCTTGGATCTCCTCTTGGGCCCTGCACGCGGGCGGACGGAACGCCGCCCGCAAGGCCCAAGAGCCTACTAAAACGCTCAAATATACTTCTAAAACGCCACCAGGGAAGAACTTCTAAAACGCCACCAGGGAAGAGGAAAATGAGGAGGAAGAACAGGAGGAGCAGGAGGTGAGGGAGGAGAAAGAGAGGAGGAGGAAAAAGCGGAA